CACACACACACACACACACACACACACACACACACACACACACACACGGTCTTGAAAAAATATTAAAAAGAGGTATTTGAAAAAGCACTTCACAAAGTACTGTAGCGGCTGTGTGTGACCTGAATGTTAGAAGTGAGCTGCAACAGTTTAAATTGAAGGAAACTAGTTGCATATGTGGAAGGTAACACTGAACGGACAAATGCTTGGCCACTGAACATATTTCAGCCTTCAGTTTAAACCTATGTAAATGAACAATATTGAAAATGTTGCCTCTAGGAAAGAAAACATTGGTCATTCGACTCTGGTAAGCTTCCTTTTATATGATAAAATCATCTTCAATGAAACGGTTATAGCTGCTGCTTCACTCTAATAAGTGAATTTGCTCCATTGGGTAACCAATATTCTTGCAAAATCTTAACATTACATAAGAATTAAATACAGTAAGAAAATGGATTTGAGTAGGAACAAAACAATAGTTGCAAAAACATAGTATTGTAGTTTCTAAAATATATGTTAAAAATACAGCAAAAATATGTTTTGTTCAAAGAAGAAAAAATATACTGCATGACATCACTGGTCTGGATTTTCTGGAGAATTGCCTGTGGCTTCATAGTATTTCAATGGAGTAAACATCAATTTGGCAACCATAATACTTCATTTGGCCACTTCATTTTCAGTCATTTATTAAAGACAGGATCATACTATAAAGAGTAAAAATAAAGATGATGTCAAAAGGTGTAGAGCTTGAAATAAACTTGATTGCTCTATGCAATTTATGTCAGCAAAACTCTCAATGCTTCTGAGGGGACAGAATAGAGTATTTTTGACAAATCCAAGATTTATGACACTAGACCTCCTATTTGAAGTAAAGTGGCATATAATCAATTCCATAGTTTAACATAGTATCCCTATCAGAGGCAGAAAATGTGGCATAAACCAAGTGTAGAACTGTTTGGGATATCTTATACTACACTGCGATAATAAATAGTATTGCTTCCACTAAAGCTCTTCCAAAGTTAAACACATTAAAATTATAACAAACTATTCTAATGGGAATGATAAGAATAGCTTTACTAACCTCAAGATGCAAGCATTGAGACTTACCTGTAAAGATACATGAAGAAACAAAGGAGATGAAAACCAAGCTTTATCATTGCCTCCTTCATGTGTGATTTTAGCTGCCCTCTGTTGTGGATTTCTGTAGGGTCAAATACTCCCATGTTCCCACTGGGAACCATGATATACCTGAAATGGTTTCAGGAAAATTGTTTCAGTACCAACTGCTCCAGCCCAATAGATTAATGATCTCCATATCAAAAAAAGACAAAACATGCAAAACAAAGTGAACTGAATTGGTGCCTGAGTTCTTTCAAACGATACATAATGTTGAAGTGTTGCATATGGGTTTCAGAAGAGTGGAATAAAATAGATCGTTTTGAGCTCCATCCAGCATCACTCAAATACACCCAAACTCTTCGATAACCATCTGTCAAGCCTCTGAAGTTGTAAATAGCAGGACAGACAAATTCCCTTGTGCTGTGGAGATGCATTTCTGTCATTAATCAAAAGACCTTTCAAATCGGATGCCAGCTCACGTTTTTTTTTCCCAATAAATGAATCTGAATTTTCCATGTTAAAATTTGCGTGCAGTTTTCAATCAATCTTAAGTCATCTTTTAAAGCTTGGACACTGTTTAGAAATAGTGAGCTCATTAGCACATAATTTATTAAAATATTTGACTTATTAAACTTTAAAATTCTACACTTAAATCATTGACTTTTTCTATTCAGTGTATTGCATTAGAAATAAATATATCCATGAAAACTTTTGAGATACTTAAAACAATATTCTATGCTTTTTTATTTGTTTACTAAATATAAAATGACTCAGCCAAATTCAAAGCAGAAAATTGCATTCTTTTTCTTCTAAGAAATCCACATCCAAAGAAATTATTAATACCTTGATTTGCTTAAAAAGATATAATCTCAAGCATTATTATATAGCTATGTATATGAGATTTTAATGTTATATGCACCCTAAATTAGAAGTATTGCCAAAATTGAAAAATAAAAATAAGTTTATTAGAGGCAAAATTTAAGCCTGGGCTGTACTTTGCAAACAGAAATCTTAAAAGGGAATTCAACTTTCTTTGTTTTTCCTTTAGGTGAAAGCAAAATTGATAAAACTCCAAAAGTAGTGCTTCGTGCCCTGTGAACATTCAAGATATGTATTTTCTTAGATTTATATCCTGCCTTCCAGAAGCCCTTTGTTTTACCATCCAAAACCACCCTATGAACAAGGTTGAGCTGAGAAAGACTAGTCCACAATCTTCTAGTAACTTTTACAGCTAAGAGTAGAGCTGAATCTAAGTGTTCCCAGTCCTGGTTCAATGCTTAACTACTAATTACCACATTACTAGGTATTTTTTGCTTAACTACTAATTACCACATTACTAGGTATTTTTTGCACCCCCAGCAAATACGGTACTTATTCCTGGAAAGTACAAAAGTGACTTTATACTGTTTTCATCTCAGGATGGGGTGAAAAGTGGATCTTTGAGTAAGATAAATGATGCAGTAGATTTTCACATGATCATGCTCAAATTTTAAACTTTAACAATACAGAAGTTATATATGTACATACACTCCTTGGGAAAAGGAAAGTCTGATACATCTATTGTTGGTGTTATCCAAAATCCATGCTAAAATCCAATGAGAAAAGTAATATTACATTTCTATCACTTCCTGCTGACATTGCTGGACTAATAAATTATGGAACAAAGCAGTTTATAAAATTGCTTGTTCATTAAGAGAAAAAAAATACGAGGAACATCAGCCACCAAAGCAACGATCTTACCTGTATATGTTCCACGTTGCCACAGGAAAATTGAGGAGGAAGATGAACCAGTGCAGTGAAATAAGCATTAATACAGTGACAATGGTGTGGCCAATCAATTCAGGGATCACCCACTAGAAAGATATTCAAAACAATTTAAAAAATAGAAACTATTATAAAGATTCTGCAGGAATCTTCTACCTGCAAGCTGACAAGGCTACAAAACTTATTTCATTAAAAAGAATCAGTAATTGATCTCTATCGGATGGTTCAGATATAAATTGTAAGTGTAATTTACAAAGCAGCAATTTACAAATTAGGATACCATCAGAATATTTGAAATACTATTTACGAGAACTTGATCAGCATTTCTAATATGATCAATAAGGAATACCAGTAAGCAACAGTCTCAAGTTAAATCCTATATATTCAACTGGGTAAACTGAAATGCTAGTACCAGGTTTATATATTTAACCTAATTTTCAAATCAGTTTTATTTTTCATGATTAAGAATTTGCTGCCCATCAATCTGAATTCTTGCATCGAGATGGTATTATAAAAAGGGTGAGTATACATTTGACATGGTTAGCAATGGATTCTAATACATGGCAGGTTGTTAAGTAAAATAGTTTATAAAGATTACTTATTCTAGATAACTCAAATGTGACTTACAATAACTAGTAAATAAGAATAGGGAAAGGCAAGCACAAAAATATATCTTCTACAAGCAAGCTACACATAAAACACTTGGATGCTGCAAGAGAAGACTACATATAGTCAACATTCATCAAAGAAAGGGAAATGTGTATGGAACACTGAGGGAAAAATAAGTGGAATAAATGCAAGTGTCTGAGACACTATCCTGTAGGCAATCCAGATTCTAGCATTAGGCCCCCAAGATTATCTTCCCCACAACAGTAATTTTTGATTTTTGTAATAAGAAAACTGCTAAGGATGCAATTCTAGGTTTACTGTGGTTCCTCTCTGAATTAATGATACAGGTAGTCCTTGATTCAAGGGCAAGCAAAGCAGTTCAGTAAGTGATACTCACTTTTAGGACTTTTTGCCATGGTTGTTAAACAAATTGTGCAGTTGTGAAGCAAATCTGGTTTCCCCCATTGACTTTGTCAGAATCTAGCTGGGAATGTTGCAAATGGCGATCACATTACTCCAGGACTCTGCAACTGTTGTAAGTACATGCCAGTTGCCAAGTGCCCAGATTTTAATAATAATGCAATGATCAGAAGTAGAAGGACAGGTTGCAAGTCACTTTTTTTAGTGCCATTATAATTTAGAACAGCCACTAAATGAATGGTTGTCAGTCAAGGACCACTTGTAGAAAAGATGATTTTTGAAAACTTGTAAACAGTACAAACAAATGATGCAATTTTGAACAGCAAGTTCCACAATATTTTGATAATGAGGCTGACGGATTAATTCAAAATCTCTGAAGAACCTAAGTTAACTACTACTGCTCTAGAAAGACATCAGTCCAAAGCGCTCTTTAGTGTGTTTATGAATTACATATAATCACAATATACTTTACAACTATCAGGGTAGTCCTAAACCTTCCGCTCCTACTGAGTGTAACAGTAGCTACTCTCGGATGGTAATATAACTGCAGTTTATATATAATCTTATATGCCTAGAAATAGGGATTGCCCCCCAAAAACTATGATTGGGCGATGTTGGGTTTGCATATTTTATTTATTAAATGAAACAGAGCCCCCTGGAGAAAACTAAAATATTCCTCACATAAGTAACCAACAAAGAAGCTGTTCTCTGGCAACATTTCATCGTAGAATTGAGGCTAATAATACATTTGTAAACATTTACTACATTATTGTATTAACATTTTAAAAAATTAAAGAGGAAAAAAACTTACTTTATTTAGTTTTGAGCAGCAAGATCTGGCATTAATGTAGTCACATTCCAAATCTGATAATGTAATTATCTGATGATCAAGATAAGAACAACTATTATGTCAGCTGTATCCCTGCCTGTCCCTTCTAGGTAAGAATTAAACTATTTGGGCAAATTGTAAATAGCACCCTAAGGAGTTTTATATAAAACTCAGCAAGCAGGCCTCCAGCTTAGGACTTCCAGAAGAAGGAAAGCATTTTGCAAGATATAGACAACAGCAGAATCCATATCCCTTTTATCTCTGTTAGTGACTTTTGTCAATGCCACCCAAACTCCAAAGTATAACACATACAATATAGATGCAGCTGGGACATACTGATCACTCATTAGTTTCCAAAGAAGTTAGTTTGTTTTGTGAGTTTGGTTCTTTATAAGCAAGCACATTAAAATTTGAGTAAGGTAGAACATCTCCTGGTGCATAAGCACAGTCCTTACTGATTTGATTCAGATGTTGCCCCTCCACACTAAGAGAGTTTCCTATTATCAATAGGAATATTTGAGTTCATTCTCCTCTCTCCTTTTTATCATGTATTTATTTTAGTTTATTATAATCATCCAACTCCTATGGACTCTGGACAGGGTACAAAACCAACCCCCCTCATAAAAACGGGGAGAGGGTTCTAAAACCACCGAACAGCCTGAACTAAAACAATCTAAAAGTGACATAAATCAAAGGACCAACATCTAATACAACACATTCATCCCAGGCATGAGACCAAAGCCAGATTTTAAGAGCTTTCCAGACAGAACTTTAAGAGAGGATGCCGTCCTTACCATAGAGAGGCTGCTGTTTCAGAGCGTGGGAGTTGCAACAGAGAAGGCACACTTCCTCCATCCCCTTACTAAAGGGAGCTGAAGTGCACCCACTCTGCCAGAACATACTTTATGGGCAGAAACAACTGACAATAAGTGGTTCCTCAGATATCCAGGCTCTATGGCATACAGGGGTTTATAGGTAACCATATTTTGAATTGCACTGGGGAGCCCATTGCCACCTGGCTGTACAATAAAAAGTTAAAACATTGCCACCTGGCTGTACAATAAAAAGTTAAAACATTTGCTTCAAGTTTTAAACCAAGAGTTTTCTAATGTCTGAATTTTGAGAATTTGAACATCTGTTTCAACATCTGTTGAAAGTAAATTCCCCAGGTTTAATCTTCAGAGCAAAATGTGGACTGGACAGTCATAAAAAATTGTGTCGTAATATGCAGATAGGCTTATCATCCAATTGCACAAGAAACTGGTTTACACACACACACACACACAAAAATAAAAATCTGGAAGCAAGTTGTTCCACTTTTTCTTTACTACTAAATTACTTCTAACATTTCATGTGATCTTTATTTTATCCTTCTGTTAATGCATCTTAGGACTGCATTTATAGTATTAAAAATACTATAATATAGTATTTATAGTATTACGCCTCACATATGAAATGCGCACTATATTTTGACAGATCAAATTTTGCTACATATACAGTATATTGATATATATGATACACAGGTAGTCCTCAATTTACAACAGTTTACTTAATGTAGTGACCGAAGTTACAACAGCACTGAAAAAAGTGACTTATGACCATTTTTCAAACTTACAACGTTAGAGCATCCCCATGGTCATGTGATTTGGATGCTTGATAACTGACTCCCATTTATGACAGTTGTAATGTCCTGGGGTCATGTGATTCCCTTTTGCAATCTTCTGATAAGCAAAGTCAATGAGGAAACCAGATTCACTTAACAACCATGTTACTAATTTAACTGCAGTGATTCACTTAACAAATGTAGCAAGAAAAGTCATAAGATGGAACAAAACTCACTTAACAAATTTCTCACTTAGCAACACAAATTTTGGGCTCAATTGCAGTTCTAAGTTGAGGACTACGTGTGTGTGTGTGTGTGTGTGTGTGTATACACACGCACAAACAGGCACAAACTTTTGTTGCTTTTTAAAGTAAAATTTTTACAAAATCTAATTCCTAAACTGTGGCAAAATTTTATTCATGAAATTAAAATTGATGAAGAGCTATTATAAAAGTAATGATGACAACATTAAAAAGTTTATACTTTTCAGGATAACTTAAGTGGTTGAAAAGGTATCTAAACTACATGTTTAAAAAACTGTCCTTTATATCTTGTATGAAATAACCACTGAAATGTACATACAATAGTCAAAATGATAAAGATCATAATGTACAGATTTAATTCTAAGCAAACATATCTACCAGTATTGTGAAACTTCATTGCAATTCTACATATCTTAATCCACATTAATCTGCCACAATCAGAACAACAGATGCCAATTTTTAGAAATATGTTGTTTCAAATGGAAAACCAAAAGTATCATCATTCAATAGAAGGGACAACAAGCAGTAAGCTTTATACTCCGAAGAATGCATTATGCAATACAAGAATCATAGGAGCTTTATGCAAACTTTAAGACGGGAGGGTATAAATTATATACAGTATATTGAAAATAAGTCTTACATTGAAGCAGGAGCCAGGCCTTTTACCATAACCAAGCAGAACATAACCAGAAAGTTGAATGGTAGATCAAACAATCTAGTGAACAACTTATCAAAAGAGAATGAAGCAATTGTATCTTTCTTCTGCAGCCAATCTAAAAACTGCCCTTCCTGCTCTTCTTGGCCACTGCAAATCAATGCAGAATACAAGGCGTCCCAATCTGCTCCTACAAGACCCCGACAACATATAACCAGCACTCTGCAAAAACACAGGTAGGAGATGGGGATTTGTAAAAGACCGGTGCAAGTTGTGTTTTTGACAATATATCTAGCTAAGTAAGAGACACGACACGACACGCCCGACCTGTGCAGGTTCCGGACATGGCGCAAACACGCTTTCGAGTCCGTCTTGGCTTGGCGATGGATCCTTGCCTCACCTTCACTTGGCCACCACGCCTTCAATTCCTCTCACTCGCCCACCCACCCCGCGAGACGCCCAGCCTTTCTTCCAATCGCGCCTCCCTGAGGCTCAGGCTATTCGAAAAGCCGCTTCTCCCTCGCTTTCTCCAACCAGCGCTTGTTGCTGCCGCCGCCCCTGCCCCAGCCAGACCGCCATTAACGCGCCCCCGCCTCGGCCGGTCCTCTCATCCGCAGACCAGAGGAAAGAGACGGTCGCCAACGCTCTCCGGCTCTGGGACCCCGCCCCCCTTCCCGCCTAAACAAACGAAGAGGATACAAAGTAAACGGAAAGGAAAATCAGGGCGCAGCAATCAATGAGCGAAAAAATGAACACCATCGACTCCATCGTGCGGCGGAAACAGCTGTCCTCTCGGCCACCGTACAGCGCCCCGCCTCTCTAAGTCTGTTCGCGGCTGTCGGAGCAGCGCTTCCGCCTCTTCTTTCGAGTCCCTATGATTTGCCCCTATTATATATACATTTATTTGGAAAAGATTTCTTCGCACAGCACACTGGGACTTGAAGTCCCTCTTTAGGCGTCTAAAAGGAAGCGCCCGTTCTCTCGAAAACCCAAAGAAATCTCGGGTAAAATTGACAAGTACATCCGAGAGAACTACAAAATATGGACTTCCGTGACTTAGACTCTGTTTTAGGCGTCTAAGAAAGTGCCTGTGTAGAAATACGAATGAACTGCCTTCTGCCTATTCCCCCGCCCCTCCCCCGTACTGAAACTTAACAGTGTATCTCCTAGATAGTCCAGCGTTTGGTGGGACGGCCTGGAAAATCTGGCTGTGCCAGTACATTTAGGCTTTTTAAAGACAGCCTTAGCTGGGGTCCTAGTCTAGTCCGGAAAAACTTTACCTGAAAGAAGGGAGGAATTTGCACGTGGGAAACAGCGCGATGCGGAATCGGGGAGGAAATCATCCTTTTGGAGGGGATCCCAGGCTGAAACAGCGAGTTAAACAGGTGATTTCGCCGTTATTCTTCCGTTCCTATTTGGCTCTGTCATGATGAGTAGCCGCCCCTAGGTTGAACCCCATCGTCTTTTTTATAGCGGGCTTATATAAGAGAGAGAGAGTCATTCCAGAGGGCAAACATTGGGATAGAGGTGTATTTCTGGGTTCGCAATACATGACAAAGATTAAGAACTTGAAGCCAACCCTACTGGTAGGAAGCTTAGAGGAGAGAATTTCTTAAGTAAGTGAGCCCTATGCTATACAGGTAATCTTCGACTTATGACCACAATTGATCCCAAAATGTATGTTGGTAAATGAAACTTTTTTTACCCCATTTTGTAACTTTGCAAGAGTTGTTAAGTGAATCTGGCATCCGAATTGATTTTGCTTTTAAAGGTTCACAAAAAAGGATCACATGACCCCTGGACACTGCAACCCTCATAAACATGAATCAGTTGCCAAGCATCTGAATTTTGATCATGTGACCATGGAAATGTTGCGATGGTCGGGTCATACGTCACTTTTTGCAGTGATGTTGTAACTTTGAATGGTCATTAAATGAACTGTTGTAAGTCATGGACTAACTATTTACAATTAAATATTCTGGTTTGTTTTTGAAAACTTGTAAAGAAATATTTGTTGGTTATTCTTGAATTCCATTACATGCAGAAGTGGCCAATTTTTGATATTGCAATTAGTGATATTGCAATTTGAAATCATTTGCATAATTTAAATTTCATGATGCTGCAAAATTAATATACACTTAATTATCCATTTCTATGGAATGATATCTGGACAAAAATTGATCTGTTGCGATCAAAATCTGCTGAATAGAGAATCTGATAAATTAAGATTCTACTTCAATCTCTTTGCTTTTAAAAACCAACATAGATAACTGCAGTGATGAAGAAAAAGCTGTGCCTATTTTAAATTGTTCATATACAATTTTCTGCTAATACTATTTTTGCATATTGTACTAACCTACCTATATTTATTACAGTATCTAAGCAGTAATAAATGTGGCCAGTATGTTAACACTGAGATTCTAGCAGCAGAACTACAGAAAATGTATAGGTGAGTAGTAAGAGATTTAGTACTTTAGATTTTCTATGAAAGGGACAGTGGAGTAGTGCATGTATAATAATAAATGGCATAATAATTAAACTTGTAATAGTATGTATTTGAGTCTCAGGGCTTAACATTATCTTCTCTATTACATTGTGTGTCTGCAAGAATGAAATCAATACAGAGATATAAACATGGAGGTAAACACAAGTATACAAAGCACATAAAAGAAATAGTAAAACAAATTAGAAGCATAAATTAAAAAGAAAGGAAATACAACAAAAATTCTAACCCTAATCTCTTTGCACCTTTAAAACCATTCTTGCTATACCATGCTTATATACTGATTTGTGCATTATCTTTTGTTCTTGACACCTTTCTTTCAACATAGGATTAGGTTAGGATTGGTCTAATTTATTCATGCGGAAGCTGCAAATTACCAAATCTGAATAATTTACACAGTGTAATATAATATTTATTCTAATATAGAACATATATATTTGAATTTGTTTATTGGTCTTTTTTTACTTTAACATTGGTAATTATGCATTACACTACTTTTCCCTAGGATGCTTGCACTAGGCTTCTACATTGAATATGAGGTATACCAAAGAAATATTCATTGAGGTTTTTAAAATTGATTTTCAGTGCTGATTATGGACGAAGAAAAAGAAATGCCTTTAGAATACAGGTTGAGAAAGGTATGTCTGTTAATATTGTCTTTGAAGTTAAATTATGCCATGAAAGCTACCTTATGTAAGTAATCTAAAGTATTTTAGATCAAAGAGAGAAGGTTGTTAGGGATACACCCTAGCAGAATCTGCACAGCAGTCAGGCAGGCAGGCAAAATATGTGAGATAAACGTTTTTGTAGCTTACACTCAGTAAAACAGATACACAGTGCTAATTAAATAGTTTATTCCAGTAAGAGTTATAGCATAGTCAAACAGTCCATATATCATTCACTAGTCCAGTCCGTCCAGGGATTATTCAGTTGCAAATTCCAGTGTCGAAAAAGAGAGGTCAGTAAACTTACAAATATCAGTCCAGTAATATATCTCCTTGCAGTAGAGATATGAAGAAGTCAAAAACTCCTTTCTTCCTTCAGCAACTCAGCAGTAGGGGAAACACGCAGTTAACAAACCATCAATCCATGCAATCCAGTAATTGTCAGGGAATCGTCAGGTTCTCTTGCTCCCTCTTATGGTGGTTTCACACTGCACCCAAAATTACATGCTTTGCAGTTTTAAAGTGACACACACTTAAACTTACAATCATAGTTTATATATATTATTTTACCCAAACTACGTTAGGTAACCTATGTTATTCCTAACAAAGGTACTTGGTCATGAATCAGCTAGGTTTAATATTTTAGATTGTGGTCTTAATTTAAGACCAATAACTTTGAACACTCCAATCTGTCTGGCATTTCTGGCTTTTGATTGCATTCTGTGCAAAATATAATTTGATTCTTGTTTCACACATGAGCAAGTTTATCTGTATTTTTCTTTCTAGTTATTGGGATAATCAAAGATGAGATAAAATCTACAGATTTAGCCACTCTAGAAGATGAATATTTCACAAAGAAAGCAAAAAGGGATGAAAAGTAAGTTGCAATCACCACAATAAAAAAAATCCAAATAGCTTTATGTCACTTTAACGATTAACAAATTTATTATTGTGTACATCTCATTAGACACAGTTTACTTCATCAAATGCATAGTGACCTTCCAAAGAGTTTTTAGTAATTAATCTAGTGCAAATATAGTCCCATATACTTTGCAAGCAAATATTAGGCAATTAGAAATACATACCCTCCCTTCTTTATTTTTATGTAAGCATTGATATAATTACTTTTTAGTATATGCACTTGTGTTCTTTCTATTCCTACATTCAGTTAAAGGAAATCCTGATTTGCTTCTAGCTATAGTAACACAGTATATGAATTAGCAAAAATTCATAGCAAAAAAGTTAATATAGAATAGACATATATAGAATTGAAGGCTGATATTTGGTAAAAGAGGGGGAAAGGATGAATCCAGCTTAATTATAGAAAATTTACACAGCACTACATCTTAGTAAAAGTTTTAATATTTGCTGTGTACTACTTAGTATTCCTTCCTTAGGCACAAAAAACTAGGAACTACTGCAGCTGATCCCTGAAAGAGAAGGATTACATACTACAGTAATATACTGTCAATAGTATGATGGGGAAAATAAATTGCAACTTTTTGAATAGACCATTTTAAAAAACAGTGCATTCTTCATTCACAATATGAGTTGATTTAAGGAAAATTTCATGCAAATGGTTCTGCTTTTTTTTAAAAAAAAGACTGTATATGAGAAGCTTTATTTTTAATTCTCTCTCTCCAAAAGTGATTCAGAGACCAGCTTGGATACTTCTGATACCGATACTGAACACCCTGTAAGTATCATTGCTTACATGAGCTATTAGTAGTAACAGTGTTTAAAATATGTATTTATAATTCTGAAGACAAATGTATGAACTGGGAGGTTCTTTGTTTTTTTAATGTTGGTCAAGCCAATTGTGGGACTTACATAACTACAGATAGACCTCAAAACCACAATTGAGCCCAGATTTGGGGCATAAGTCATAGTGGTTGTTAAGCGAGCCATCCATGTTATCATTTTGCTCAAGAGTCATGATTCTAGCTCTCCCGGCTGTAGTCATTAAGATCCCATGGGTCATTAAGTGGAACATGGGATGCCTCAAGGTGGTACCAATATTTTTTTATTGCTTGTAAGCCACCCAGAGTTGCTGAGAGTAAGCGAGCGGCCTCATAAATCCTATAAATTAAAATAAAATAAAATAATGCTTTAGGCCCAGCCTACAATGTGGTGCCTCCAGGGGTAGGATTCAATTTTTTTAAGAACCGGTTCTGTGGGTGTGGCTTAGTTGATGGGCATGGCTTGGTGGACACGTGACTGGCTGGGCGTGGCTAACTCAACATCACTCACATTGAGGCACGCATCTCCTCGCCTGGCCTCTTGTGACTGTGGAGATGCTGAAATAGTCGTAAGTGTGAAAAATGATTATAAGTCACTTTTTGCAGTGCCATTGTAACTTTGAATGGTCACTCCATACAAGCAGAGTACCAGCAAAGGAGGGGGGAAAAACTCCAGAGAAGTTCCAGAAACAGGAAGTCTAGTCCTGCCAAGAATGTAAAAAGGGTTAACGGAAAGGCAGTTTCTGTAAGCAACACCAGAATGTTTCCTTCCTGCCTTCCTTACAGGATTAGGCCAGTAATTTCTTCTAACAACCGGTTCTCCGAACTGCTTAAAATGTTAACAACTGGTTCTAGTGAATAGGTGTGAACCTGCAAAATCCCACCCCGGGCGCCTCCCCCCAATTTGCATGTGACCTGCACCAGGCCTCCCAAGGAATCCACCCTCAGGCACCCCCTGTATAACAGTACTCAGTGGCAGCGCTAAGGCCTGAAGCA